GAGCGGGTCTGCGCTCAGCCTCCGGAGCCCGGGCCCTGCGCTTGCCCAGCTCCCCTCGAAAGGCAACAAGACGGCGCTTTTCCCCCGGCTGATCGATAAGCAGGACCTGACCCGAGACCGGGGGCAATGGGCCTGGCCAGTAGCTCAGACAGGGCGCTGGCAGAGCGGCGGGCGCTCTTTCACTCCGTTTCTCCAAGGAGAAATGCTTCATGAATAAAACCACGGAATATTACTCAGCCGGTAAAAGTTACCATGTTAAGCAAGTAAAAGCGGAATACAGAGTGGCACGGACAGCGGTTTTGTTACCAGGAGAATGCGCAGCGTGTCCACGGGAACAAGGGTTGGCAGAGCGTAGGAAAGGTGAAATTAGGGCTGCCGTGCGGAGAGGGAATTGGCTTGCTTTGAAGTGGTTGGAGTTGGGGACGTTGGAAGGAGTTACTGCTCTGACACCATGTGTGCACCGTAGCCAAACCCCTCCAGGAAAGCGCCCGTGGCTGAACAAAGGATGACGCCCTGTGGTGAGGGAGCCCCACCGTGGGAACATGCCTCTCAGTCACGGGCTTTGGGAAAAACCTGTTCCATAACTGGGAGTTTGGCCTGCGATGTGAAGGGACGCCTGAGGAATCGAGGGTTTGCTATACATTGAATGCTTTTAGCAAGCGGGGCAATTCCCTGATTGGGTAAAGAGGAAACAGTCATTGGTGTAGCAAGAGCGGGGGGTGTTTGGTATTTTGTGGGTTGCATAGTTCCCTTGTTTTCGTCTGTGCCGGGACAGAATCACGAGCGGCCTTGCTTAGTCTGGGTTTATCCGGTCTCAGCCTGAGCTTATCTGAGGAAGGCGTTCTGTGCCATTGGTCGTACCCACTGGGAGAACAGCAGTGGCCTGGCCGTGAGTGTCAGACGAGCCTGTCATCCGATTGAGGTCTAGTTGTGAACCTCAGAGAAGTTGCAGGTGTCTGGGGCTGCTTTTTAAAATTTTTATTTCCCAATACTTTATCAAGCAAAAGTATTTTAAAGGCCGTTTTTCAAACAAGAAGAACCAACAGTCTCCATGAATCTAATGTTCTTCCCTGGCGCAGTGGTTGTCAAAATCTAGTCCACCTTCGGGCGTCTGTTTGGGCAGCTGCTCTCATAAGTTTCAATGAAATGAGAACAGTGAGGGCATAAAACTAAAATTTTTAAGTCAGAGTGTTAGCTTTTATTCTGATTTTATGGCCTTCCAATTTTTTTGTTGTTAACGTGTTCTTTCTTTGATGTGTGGGGGCTTTAGTTTAGTATCTCCTCTTGGGAGAATTAAAATGTGGACTCCCGTGTGCCGGGCCCCTCTTAATTGTTTTACTGATCTGGAAAGTTCTGGGGCACCGGCTGAAAGGCTCTTTGGAACCTCACAGAAGTTCAGTGTCCTCAGTCTCTGACAAGAGTAAGCAGTTTTTCATTTGGAATCATTTTATGTGATAGTTTGTAGCCACATAGGAACAAAAGATACTTCAAAGCTCCTTCTGATAAATGTCAATAATGAGGCCCCTCTTTAACTTATGAACAAAAAATCATTTGTCTTGAAATGTCTGTGGGCGTTGTTTCTTCCTGTGTTTGAGGCTTTTCAGAATATGGCATATCTTAAGGTCTTCCTGAGTCATTCTTTGCTATTGATTGTTTTGGGAGACAGATTAAGAGATGGTGGTAACGAGCCTGAGCAGCGCAGAAACGTCTGGAGGGGGAGAGGGAGAGGGAGACAGAGTCATCAGGCTCTTAGGCCTTGTTAAGGATTTTGGAATCTACCCTAAAAGCAGCAGGAAGCCACTGGATAATTTTAAACAAGATACGACAAGAAAACGTTTTCACTTTAAACAGATCACTTTGGGCTGAAAGGGAGCAGGGAGATGTGAGTCCAGGGGGGAAACGGGGTGACTTGCAGGAAGGCGGTGCCGGTGGGGAAGGAGGGAAGGGGACGGTGCTAGAGAACAGGAGGAGGTGGGGGGCAGCCACCTTTCTCAGGCGCTCAGCTGGGCGGGGGCCGCATCACCCCCGGGAACACGGGGCTGGGAGAGTGAAGGTCACTGTCATTCCCGTTACGCCGAGGTTCCTGTGGCACCGAGATGCCCAGCAGGCCTTTGGGACTGGAGCTCCGGAGAGAGATTGGGAGTCAGGCATTTTACCTGAAGCCATTGGAGCAGGTGAACACGGAGTAGGTGGAGGAGACAGAGATTAAAGGGAGGCCTAACGGGCTGAGGTGCCCGGGCGACCGGGCGTGTGGCAATGGCTGTCATCAGTAAAGCAGCCAGTGCTGGCCAGGGCGTGGGGAGAGGGAGCCCGCGCGCTGCTGGGGGCGTGCAGGCTGGTGCAGCCCCTGTGGAGCTTCCTCAGGAAATCCGAAAGGGAGCTGCCTGTGACCCAGCAATTCCACTTCTGGGACTTTATCCAAAGGAACCCGAAACACTAATTGGAAAGACTATGTGCACCCCATGTTCATTGCAGTGCAGTTTACAGTAGCCAAGGTCTGGAAGCAGCCCAGGTGCCCATCAGCAGGTGAGTGGGTGAAACAGCTGTGGGGCGTTCGCACCAGCGAACACTACTGGGCCGTAAAAAGCAAGGAAATGTTACCCTTTGCCACAGCCTGGACGGGCCTGGAGAGCACTGTGCCGAGCGACATAAGCCAGGCAGAGAAAGAGAAGTGCCCTATGATCTCCCTCACATGTGGACTCTAATGAACAAAATCAACTGACAAAGTAGAAACAGACAGAGCAGGCAGGCAGCTCTGGTGAGGAGGGGGTGCTGGGGGTGGAGGGATTGAGCAAAAAAGAAAAACAGAACCCATGGAATCACGAGAATAATTAGAGAATTCGCTGACCCAGAAAGTGTTTACAAAATGCTTCACAGAGCCCTGGCAGCATGCTTAGTGGTTAGAGCATTGGCCTGCACACCAAAGGGTCTCGGGTTCGATTCCCGGTCAAGGGCATGTACCTGGGTTGCAGGTTCACTCCCTGCCCTGGTTGGGGATGTCCCCCCCCTTCTCTTTCCCTCTCTCCCTCTCTCTCCCTCTCCCTCCCTCCCTTCTTCCCTCCTTCCCTCCCTCCCTCCCTTCCACTCTCTCTAAAGAAAAAAGTCAGTGGAAAAAATATCCTTGAGTAAGGTTTAACAAAAAAACAAACAACATTTTACACAGATTTTCAGCAAGTCCTCTGCCTTCGGAGGGCACGTGAGAGACCGATGAGATTCTAAGTGGGTTGTGTTTTTTCCCTTGTGACGGAATAGCCCAGTTATACCTAGTCGACTACGTCACATCCCTAACCCATCTATAATCTTTCCCTCTCATCTATTCAGACTTGTACTTACCTTGATAAGGTTGTGTCGTTAAGTTCAGAGACAGTGAGAAACTTTAAATAACAAATGAGCTCATCGTAATTCTCTTTAAGCCTGTACATAGGTTTGGAAGCTGTCTTCACCCCCGGAGACTCTACCCCCAAATCCAACCTGTTTAGAATGACCTTTTTACCACTTATTCTTACAGCCAGGTTCTAGGCAGAGTTCATGTCTATTATAATTTCATGTTTATCTTTTGCTGCCAGAATTATCATAGTAAAATATCTTATTGACCTTGGACTCCCACATATGTGATGGCTAGATTACTCTCTTACCTCTGGGGCAGGTTGAATTCTCTCCCAAGACTTGACAGAGCACTTTTTACTTCCCCCACAGTATCTCATAAGAGATAAGCCGTGTAGTTTGATTTGGATACTGGCTTTGGAACCCAGGTCATGCAAATACAATTATTTGAGAGAGATGAACATCATTCCATTGCATTTACTGGCTGAGATGGTCACAGCCCTTGAGGAAGTGCGGGTTGCTCCGTATCTGGAATGGAATTGAGGCATTGCTTCCGTTGCACCTCTGTGGGGAGCTATGAGGGAGCAGGGGAGGCTGGGGCTGGGGCTCTGGGCACCAGCTCTCTCACCAGCCATGTGACCTGCTCATCACGCATGGAGCCCGCTTTGCCCCCAGAACATGACCCTAAAGTTCCCGGTAACTTGTGTCAAAGTAACTCAGAGTCTGGAGGCTTTAGCTAGAAATAAATGATAAAGACTTATTCATAGGTCTTAGGGTTTGCAAACCGTAGAGGCGATACCCCGGGCGTTCCAGAGAAGACGGAAGCTGAGCTCTTACAGTGAAAAGTACGTTCTCGAGAAGAATCGGCCCTGCATTCTTAGCCCCTGGGCTGGGCCGCGATGGGCATCCTGTAGGTGACCGGTGGCCTGGGCGCGTGGACCTTCTTTCCCTGGGCATTCGGGGGGTAATCAGAGGGTTGTCTGCAGTGGTACACGGAGACATCCTTCACCCCTGTACCTTTTGTCTCCCTTTCTTCCCTTCTACATACTTTTTTACTCTTGCTTAGTAAACATTGATAACGTAAGATTTCTAAATATTGGTCATTGCTCAGTGCACTGTGATTACATTTCCTTTGCTGAAATTCTCAAGCCAAGATGCTATTGGCACTGAAAGAATATTCAGATGTATCCTCTACCAAATACTCATATTAATTCCAGCTTAGCTCGCTTCATATTTATATCATGCCTTTCTCACACAGATTATTGTCCTTGGGGTTCCTAATTGCTTTCTCGCCTTTTTTCTCAACGGCGGAGGAACTGAACCTGTGCTGCTATCACTAGATCCTGTATTTTTTCAGCTTCCGACTTACCCTCTTGGTTCTGATTTTCTCCATTCTTCTTTAAACCTGTAACTCCTGTTCTAGTTGGGACTGTTTTCTTTTTATTAGAACCATACTTTTCTAATACTACAGTTTCTCCCTGTAGTTTCTGGTTGTTTTTCTTTTGTTCTTACATTCTGTTATTCTGGAGAGTAAGAATAATAGATGAAGATGAAAGGAGCGGTAAACGAGGGGCCAGTAAACAGAAAACACACCCCC